ATTGTGTTCCATGTTCTTTAAATTTATCGCCCTTGGGAGTTTTGCTACAAAATGCTAATGAGACCCTTGAAGAGCCCCAGACACCCCTCCTCCCTCAGGCTCTTAGGAGAAATGTACAGGTCAGAGACATCCATCCTTGGAATAGCAGGTGCCTTTGAGAGGGACTGCATTTCTAAGCATTAACATGTTAATGGGGAGGGAATCAAAAGATGACTCAATCAACACCAAAAGATGGCATCGTTTCAATCAATAGCACAGCTCATAAAAGTCCTGATGCCACTGACATGGCATAAAAACAATTCCTGAGAATTAAACAAACCTTCATTTGAGGCAATCCTGAACTTTGCCCTTTAAAATAATGCCAACTTCAGAAACACATCTGGCTTCATGATTCTATCTGGCAGATCCTATACATGGGATGGGTATTTTACTTCCAGCAGACACTCTGCCTTCCTGGTTCACAAAGGAAAATGAGATGGGTGTCACTTTTCCAGAGCCCACAGTGTTAAGTTCAGAGACTCTGAGTAGGAAGGAAGCCTTAAGTGAACAAATTTTCACCTTGGGTGACCCACAGCAGGGCTCTGTCTTGGCTTTCTTGTTTTGTAACCAACACCTACTAAGTGTGGTGGTTCAGCCCTTAGATACTCAGAATGCTGGCTGCCAGACTGGGAGACAAATAGCTTTTAAAACTCATGACACAGTATTACTGACATTAGAGGGATGGCCATGAACCAGGTGGCCAATTACTCTCAGAAAGAACAGCTCAATATCAATTGTGCTAAATTCAAATAGTCATATTCGGCAGGGCTCCTCTGCATCCAGATGGATAAGATTTGAATATCTCCATTCAACAGGACAATTCATTTCATTATCTGCAAATTCTTTCTACAGCCAGCTCATCCTTGTGAGCCCTAGAAGGCCAGGTCCTGGCCAAAATTAAGTAGTCTCAGAAAGAATATTAAAACAAAAATAGATATTCTAAATCTTTTGAGTCCATGTCATCTTATTCTTACATTAAATGATTAGAACTCTTGGATTTCCATTGAAAATATGTCAAACTAATGAAACAAATACAAAATAGCTTTTTTAGAACAATCTAGGCTATATTCCTAAAAATCTTGGAGCCTTCTGTCTCCTTGCATGACTGGACTGAGCTGCACTGGGAATAACAGCTCAGTCCCTTTCATGTTCATAGATAAACTTTTTTTTTTTTTTGCCCTGGGGATTGAACCTAGGGCCTAATGCATGCTAGGCAAGTACTCTGACACTGAGCTATATCTCCAGCCCAAGATACCACCTTTGCCTCCTCTTCCTTTGATAGTTAATGATAGTTAAGCCACGTGGTGCTCCTCTTCATCAGTCACAGCATCCGTTTGTGCATGCAGCAATCGCCAGTGACCTCAAACTCACTGGCAAAATACAGAGCCAACCCATTCCCCAGCCATTCATTCTCCTATTCACATGTAGCACATTGGTTGCCAACTGGCTGAATTTGGCCACAGATGTGTAGGCAGTCTCCCTCACCCCCACCACACATATGCACCTGTGTGCACACACACACACACACACACAGCCTATTTTTTTCTTAATGTAGCATTAAATGACCTTAGGCTAGATCTTCATTTTCCAGGTTGCCATAATCCCCACGAAATCCCACTAATACACACCTACTTGGCCTCATTCCTTTGCCTTTTCTTTCTGGCCAGTAAGAATGTTTTCATTGTAAATTCCTGACAGTATTCTCTTAAGTTTTAACCCATATTTTAATTCTTACCCAGAAGCATGCATATTAGAACAAGAGGCTTCCTTTAGGGTAAGATACTAGGATGATAGCCAATAGACAAATTAATAACACAACTTTAGGCTGTCTAATTTTTTTCCACTGGCTCAAAAAACCAAGTGCAAGTGGGTACATGAGAGCTTCTAGGGGTGGACACAACTCTGCCTTTTCTGATCTCCTTTCTAGCAGTGTTAACTGTCCCTGGGTGTTTGATGGAATACTAGCCAGAAAGACCATTAGTAATTAATGTTAGCACCCTAACATGACACCCCTGATACTAGTTATATTCATTGTTTTCATGCCTATTAATATTTGAATGATGACTAATTATATGACTATTAATTCTAGGAACCAATGATATTCATCCCTCTGATCCCATGTCTATGGCAGACATTACAACTCAATAATGACACTCTTTCTTATTGGACCTAGCTGTGGTCTCAGAAACCTCAATGCAGTGTTTGAAGCAGCCATCACCAAGGAATTGAAGTTGGTACAGAAGATATTACATACCTGATACTTGTTCTCCATAGCCAGACCTCCTCCATCTTGGGTAAGGATCTAAGTCCTGGATGAAAATCTAGAAGTGCATGCTACATGCCTGTGTCAAGCTGTGGTCTGCCAAGTTCTTGTGTCTGTCAGTGTATCTGATATTCTGATCCATAGGGACTTTTAATCAAATCAACAAAGTCTTAATAGAAATGTTCTTTCTTTACCTATCAAGCAATTAATTCTTTTATGATTTTCCCCCCCTCAAAAAATGCAAGAAATCCTAAGCCCCAGACAACCCCTGGGGTCATCGACATTGATTTTGAGTCCAGAAGGGGCTTAAGTCTCATAAATTGTTTCTTCTCAGCTTTCACCTAAACACAATGTAAGAATGCTTTTTCTCCTTTTTCTTATTTACAAGGAACACAGTTTCTGGAGGTGAACAGGCTCATCTCTATCAATAGACTGGCCTTTTATGACAGAAGCAGAAGAGAGGATTTGCTAAAGGTAAATAATATCATATTGGCTCTCTATAGAAATGTTTTCACAGAAATAGGATTTCTATCATGAACTTAGTTTAAAGAAGAGAACAATATTAAGTCTTTTGTAACATTGTCATCGAAGAGGTTCTTTATATTATTATTTCTTGAGTTCTTCCTTGAACTAAATGTTAGGGAAGCAGATTGTCCTTCCTGACAAATGGGTATTCTTTGTTTTATTAAATAAATTCATCATGTTTTCCTTCCTGGCTGCCAGTAAATTCACAGCTACATTTTGCGCTCAGTGATAATTCTTATCCTTAACTAAAGCTCTCTCATAAATTATCTTCTCCTTTCATGGCTGGTTCCTCTTACTCTCCCTTAATGCGTAGGTATCTTCTATTAACAGCCATCTCTTTCCTTGAGAAGTGAGTGGCGTATTTTTAGTAAGTAATACATCAGTAACTGAGTCAGGGACGGTTCCTCAGGAAACTGAACTTTAACCCTAATTCAGTTCTGCAATCAGTTGCCGTAGTTTAGATCTGAAATGTCCATGGAAGGCTCATGTGTTCAAGGTCTGGTCCTCAGATTTGAGCTACTGGAAGGTGGTGGGAACCCCTAAGGGATGGGACCTAATGAGACACTTCAGGTCACTTTCTGAAGGGTATTGTGGGGCATCATTCTTATTCTCCTTCTCTGTTTTGCTTTCTGGCTATAATGAGGTGAGCCATGTACTCTCCACCATGATGTGCAGTCTTACTACAGGCCTGAAAGCAATAGGCCCATTGACCAGGGCTGAAACTGCCAAAACTAGGAGCCCAAATAAAGCTTTCCTCTTTTTCAAGTTGATTATCTCAGATGTTTATTTCAATAATGGGAAGCTGATTAACACATGGACTAACCCCTATTTATGGATCACCTCCTAAGCCCTTTCTGAGTGTTCTACAGGAAACAATGTTGGATCTTTTGAAACAATGAAAGAACTGAGTTTAAAACCAAACAAATGCTTGTCGATAGTTGGCATGCTCTAATTTAGCACAATAACAAATCCCAAGGCTCCAATCTTGCGAAATTTAAGACATGAGAAGATCCATAATTTCAACCTCCCTTCTGCCTTCTCTGAGTTCTTATCTTGGAAGGGAACTCAACAAAGAAATCAATTCATTTTAAGATTATGAACTCTGTGGGACATTGAATTTGAAGACCAAGAAATGAACTCCTCAATTCACAGACTACAGATTTCCTAATGACTTTGTTCCACACTATTATTTTTTTAAAATTTTTTTTAGTTATTGATGGTCCTTTATTTTATTTGCTTATTTATGTGTGGTGCTGGGAATCGAAGCAGGGTCTCATGTGCACAAGGCAAGCAATCTACCACTGAGCTACAACTCCAGCCCCACTATTATTAATATATAATTTATCAGAATAAAAAGAAAGTTTTTAGTTTTAATGAGGCCACAATTAAAGAAATATTCACTCATAAGAAATGTTCTGCATCAACGAGGTAAAAGCAACTCAAAGACTATGTCTTTACAACTAAGATTGCTAAATTCTTGGATGTTGTGAAGTTAAAACAGACCATTGATTATGTTTACATTTTTTCATCTTCTTCTACCGTTCCATTCTGCCATGGGACAGATAACAATTAAAATGTATACCTGTTGTTTTTAGGAACATTTTAAATGAGGATGAAAATCACTAATGCAAAACCAAAACAACAAAGTTATTGCTGTAATTAGCTCTGGAGGTGAACACTGTGAGATTCTGCAGGCTCAAGCAGTTCTTTAGCAGTATCTTTTAAAGAGCAGAAATTTGAAATTTTTGATAAAGCCCAATTTATCTATTCTTCTATTTTCTATCTTTCTTTTGATGACATATTAAGAAATATTTATCTAACTCGAGGTCACAAAGATTTTCACCTCTGTTCTTTCCTAGAAATTCTATAATTGGAGATTTTACTTGTAGGTCTATGATCCACTTTGGATTTTATTTTATGTGTGTGTGTGTGTGTGCATGTGTGCATTGTACCCCTTAAAAATCTTTTTTACTGACACATTATAATTGTACAGAATTATACTGGGATATAGTGGGATTAATTGTGATACATGCACATAACATAATTTGGTCAATTTCATTACCAGTACCTCCCCTTTCTCTCCCTTCCTCCAGCCCCATTATCCCCATCCTCTCCCTTCTATTTTCATGAGAACCCTCTTTTATTCTTGTTTTTTTAACCTGAATATACTTCTATTTATTAAGATCTGAGATAGGAACGGTCATACTTAGTACTGAAAGGCAAAAAACAAATGGGCTACAAAAGCGGGGAAAAGGTATTGTCTATTGTTCAAAGGATTCAACCAGAGATAAAACCTATATACAAGCATGTGTGTAGGTCAAATAAAATAAAAAGACTATTTCATGTCATGACTGCTTGTTGGCTTCCTCTTCATATGCATTCCCTGTGCCATTCTGTACATAGGATGAACCAGAACCAAGGCCATACAAATGACCACAATATTTGGCATCATCAATATGATCTTCAAAGAACATTTCTCTCATTTTGAAAAAGGCCATTTCTGTAAGCAATGAATCAGATCCTGCCTGATGTTGTGGTCCTATTCGTTCCAGCTCTAACTGTTCAGCAACTTCCTGTAATCCACCTTTAAGATTTTTGCAGCTCTTCATGAGGTACTTCACATCACATATGACAGGAAAAAAACAATCGAAGGATCTCAAAGAAGTCAAGTTCCTCTTCGGGCAAATTAGAATTGGTCAGAATTTTGATTAAATAGCCAAAGTCATAACCACTGTGAAATGATAACCATTTAACTCCTTCACAAAGGACTACTCCTGAAGTCATAAGAAGTTCTGCAAAGTACTGGGTCTCAATTCCTTCCTCCTCGTGTTTTTTAAACTGGATACCAGATGTTGTTAGTAGCTCTATAGAATCCTGGGCATACATGTCCTCCGTCAAATTAAATTTAAAATTAAACTGCCAAGTTGAAGTTCCTGGAGGGTATTCTCCTTGTTCATTCATAAATGTCAGTCCTAGCTGAATTATCTTTAACAAGTCTACATTACATCGCAATAGCTGGTACTGATAGTCAGCATTACTCCTGAATTCTCCAATGGGTCTCGCAACCACACCTGGAAACTCGGTGTCCATAGCAACGTAATTATATTTTCAGATAACTTGACGAATTTTCTTCATTTCTTCATCCAGGTTACAAGCCCAAACTTCACAAATTCTTTGGCTATGATCTACAGTTGCTGCTGGCATAGCGAGGGCAGAAGGGAGTCTAGATGCCAAGCATCAAAATGTTATATTTGATTGAAGATCTGTTTCATAAAATACTTTGTCCTTTATTTATGTACTTGTGTCTCTGAGCTGGCGCTCCTCCTCCTCCTCCTCGCCATAGAGGCAGCACCCAGCTGCGGTGGCGGTGGCGGTATCGGCGGCGGCGGCGGCGGGTGCCCCATAGACACCTCTCGCCCAGCAACTGGGAAAGGGGAGCCGGAGCTGCTCCGCACCGTGCTGCGCCGTAGCTTCTCCTCTTTTTTTCCCTAGCTTCCATGTATCACAGAAAACATATGCCCTTGACTTTCAGAGTCTTGCTTATTTCATTTAACATGATTCTCTCCATTCATTTTCCTGCATATGACTTAATTTTGTTTTTCTTTATGACTGAGTAAAGCTCCACTGTGTATATAGACCATGTTTTCTTTATCCATTTATCTGTTGACAGAACCCTAGACTGGTTCCATAGTTTGACTATTGTGAATTGTGCGGCTATTAACATGGTATGCATAGAATGGTGACTTTAGTTCTTTTGGATTAATACCAAGGAGCGGTATAGCTGGGTCATATGGTAGTTCCATTTGAGAAAACTCCATACTGATTTCCATAGTGGTTGTACTAGTTTACAATCTCACTAGCAGTTTACGAGAGTACCTCTGTCCCCACATTCTTGCCCAGCATTTATTATTTCTACTTAATGACTGCCATTCTAACAGGAGTGAGAAGAAATCTCAGTGTAGTTTTGATTTGCATTTCCCTGATTGCTAAGGGTGTTGAACACTTTCTCATGTTGATATTTGTGCTTCTTCTTTTGGAAAATGTCTGTTTAGTTCATTTGCCTATTTATTGAGTGGGTCATTTTATTTCTTTTGGAGTTAAGTTTTTAAGAATTTTATATATCATAGATATTAGTTGTCAGAAGAACAGCTGACAAAAAATTCCTCCCATTTTATAGGCTCTTTCTTTATGTTCTCAATCATTTTCTTTGCTGTGCAGAAGTTTTTAACTTGATGCTATCCAATTTATTAATTATTGGTATTATTTCCTGAGCTTTAGAAATTCTACTGAGGAAGTTATTGCCTGAGCCTATGTTTCAGAGAGTTGACCATATATATATTTTTTCTAGCCACTGCAAAGTTTCTGGTCTCTGTTGAACACATATTGAGTTTACTTTTGTGCAAGGTGAGAGATAGAAATCTAGTTTCATTTTTTAATACATGGCTATGTAGTTTCCCCAGCACCATTTGTTAAAAAAAAAAAAAAAAGCTACCTTGCTACCTTTTCAGACCTAGGGCTGTGGCTCAGCGGCAGAGTGCTTGTGTGGCATGTGCATGGCACTGGGTTCAATTCTCAGTGCCACATAAAAATAAATAAATAAAACAAAGGTATTGTGTCCAACTACAACTAAAAAATATTTTTTAAAAAGCTATCTTTTCTTCAGTGTATGCTTTTGGCGCCTTTGTCTAGAATCAGGTAACTAGACCTGTCTGGGTTTGTCTCTGGTCTTCTATCGTATTCCATTGGTCTACCTGTCTGTTTTTATGCCAGTGTTGTGCTCTGTACTGTAACTCTAAAGTATAATTTGGAATCAAGTATTATGATGTCTCTAGCATTGCTCTTTTTGCTCAGAATTTATGTGGCTATTCTGAGTCTTTTATTTTTCCCTGTGAATTTTAGGACTGTTCCTTTCTAGTTCTATAAAGAATGTCACCGATATTTTGGTGGGAATTGTTTTAAATTTGGTCATTTTAATATTAATTCTGCCTATCCAAGCAGTGAGAGAGCTTTCTATCTATTAATGTCTTCTTCTGTGTTTTATAATTTTCAATGTAGAGGTCTTTCACCTCCTTGGTTAGATTTACTCCTCAGTATTTTTTAAGCCATTGTGAATGGAATTGTTTTCCTAATTTCTTTATTAGTGGGTTTATTGTTGGTATATAGAAAAGCTATTAATTTTTGTAAGTTGGTTTTGTATCCTGCTTCTTTGCTGGATTTATCAATTCTAGAAGTCTTCTGGTGGAGTTTTTGGATCTTCTAAGTATAGGATCATCTCATCTGTAAGTAGTGACAATTGCACTTCTTCGTTTCCTATTTGTATCCCTTTTATTTTTTTTTCTCTTGTATAATTGCTCTGGCAAGAATTTTAAATACTATATTTAATAGGTGTAGTAAGAGTGTGCATCCTTGTCTTATTCTTGATTTTGAGGCTACTTTCAGGTTTTCTCCATTCAGTATAATACTGGTTTTAGTTTATCATATATAACTTTTATGATGTTGAGTTAAGTTCCTTCTATCTCCAGTTTCTTCAAGGTATGGATTGAAGTTCTCCCTTCCCCTTCCCTCCCCTCTACTTCCCTTTCCTTCCTTCCTTCCTTCCTTTTCTTCTTCTTTTTCCCTCTCCCTTCTCTTCCTTTTGACATAAAGACTTATCATTACTCAAACACCTTTTGTTGAAAAGACTACTCTATCTCCACTGAATTTCTTCATAATTGCATCAAAAATCAGGTGTTCATATACCTGTGTCTGTTCCCCATTTATTTATCTAGTTTCATTGATATTATTTCTCTCTCGGCATCAATACCAAACTCTCTTGATTATTGTAACTTAATAATAAGTCTTGAAATCAGATTATGTCAGTCTTTACCCTTTGTTTCATGTTTTCCAGGTTTTTATGTCTATTCTAGATCCCTAGCATTTCCAAAAGAACTTTTTGAACCAATGTGTTCATCAGGATTACATTAATCTATCCAATTTTGTCAGAACAAACACTATTAAAATATTGAGTCATTTGACCCAGGAACACAGTGTCATCTCTCCATCTGTTTAAATCTCAACAATGGTATTATAGTTTTCAATATACAGCTTGACATCTTGTTACATTCCTGTTAAGTTTCTCTCTCTCTCTCTCTCTCTCTCACTCGATCCTTTTACTTTTCCTTATTTAGTTTTAGAATTTTTGCATCTAGAAATTCCATTGTATTTGTACATAGACAATCATATTGTTTATAAATAAGGACAATATTACCTCCTCTTTTCCAAAATAGATGCTTTTTATTGCTTTTTCCTCTCTTGTTACAATGGCTAGAACTGCCAGTAAAATGTTAAATAAGACTGGCAAGAGAAGATATCCTTGCCATATTTCTTTTCTTGGGAGGGGTAAATTTTCACCCTTTCATCATCAAGTATGATGTTAACTATAAGTTTTTCACAGAGGATTGAAGGATTCTCTTCTATTCCAGTTACATCTATTTTGCTGCAAATGACAGGATTTTATTCTTCTTTACTACTGAATAATTGTTGTGTGTATACATTACATTTTCCTATCTATTCAGTTGTCTACAGGTACCTAAGCTGATTCCATATCTTAGCAATGGTGCATAGTACCACAATAATCATAGGTATGCAGGTATCTCTCTGGCATGCTGATTTCATTTTCTTTGAGTATATACTCAGAAACGGGATAGCAGGATAATATGGTAGATCTATTTGTAGTTTCTGGGAAACCTCAATACTGTTTTCCACATTGCCCCCCACCCCAAGAATATAATTTCCTTTTACTCTATGATAATTTTGTTCTTTCTTTTATACTAGCCATTCTAACTGAGGTGAGATGGTATCCATTATAGTTTTTATTTACACTTCCTTGATGACTAATAATATTGGATTTTTTCACATTTATCTTGACTATTTGCATTTTTCTTTTGAGAAATGTCTATTCACATAATTTGCCAATTTTTAAATTTGAGTACTTAGGATTCTGTTGCTGTTGTTATGGTTGTTAAGATATTTTTAGTTCCTTCACTACTTGAAATATGCAACTCTATTCTCTATTCACTTGCTTTGATTCAAATGAGAAATTTGCTGTCATCTGCAATATTTCTCTTTGTAGGTAAGATGTCTCCCTCATCCCAACACTGGGTTACTATTAAGATTTTCTTTTAGCGCTAGTTTTTTGCAGCAATTTGATTATTATGGGCTTTGAAGGAAAGTTCTTCATATTTGTTTTGCTTGGGGTTTATTGAGCTTTTTATACTTGTGATTTTATAGTTTTTGCCAAATGTAGGAGAAATTAGCCATTATTCCTTTAAATGTTCTTTCTTCTTTCTCCTTTCTCCAGGGACTCCAGTTACATAAATATTAGATTGCTTGAACCTGTTCTATAGTTCATTTTATAAGATTATTTTTATGTTATGTGTTTCATTTTGGATAGTGTCTTTGCTGTGCCTTTTATTTACTAATCTTTTCTTCCATAAATATACTGTGAATTCCATTTAGTATACCATTAATCTAATCTAGTAAGATTTTTTTATTAATTTCAAACTTCATAGTTTTATCTATGTAAGTATTATTGGGTTTCTTTAATATTTCCCACATCTCTACTTAACTTTTTGAACATATGGAAATATGTTATAAGAAAGGTTTTAATACCCTTTATGTTAGTTTAATATCTGTGTCTGTTCTGGGTTGGTTTCAATTGATTAATTTTTTTTCCTCATCATGAATCATATTTTTCGGCCTCTTTGAATGCCTATTAGGTTTTGATCAGATGCCAGACATTGTGAAGTATGTTGTTGGGTGCTAGCTGGATGTTTATGCATTCATATAAATATTCTTGATCTTTTTTCTGAGACAAAGTTCAGTTATTTGGAAACATATTGATTCTCTTCAGTCTTGCTTTTAAGATTTATTAGGCAGCACCAGTGCAGCATTTAGTCTAGAAATAATTTCGCCTGTTTCTTTCTTGGACGGAAGCAAAAAAGTCCTTTTTTTTCAAAATCTTTTTTTATTTAGTTGTAGATGGACACAACACCTTTATTTTATCTTTATGTGGTGCTGAGAATTGAACCCAGTGCCTTCCACATGCGAGGCAAGCACTCTACACTGAGCTACAACCCCAGCCTGAAGCAAAAATCCTTTGACAAATTTTTAATTTGAAGAAAGCTGTTGAAGGCCCAAAAGAAAGTTGTACCACCCCAGGTAAATCATGTCAGAAGTCAATTCTATCTAGGTTAGTATTTCATTTCACTCTTTTCAGTTCTCTGGAAAACCTTACCCTTCTATAATATGTTCTTTATTTGATATACATAGAGATAAAAATAACCTATATTTTAACTTTTACAGAATTTTGCCACCTTTTTTCTCCAAGTTTACATCTAAGATATATATTTGTAAGGTATACATATATGTATGCAATATATATTTATATATAAGATATAAG